GGACACAGGGAGAAAGTCCAGTCAGAACTCAAGTCACTTTTTATTTTCCAACATCACAACTGCAGTCGGGTCCAACCCCACAAACCCAGGACAGAACCAGGACTGAACCAGAGCTGAACCAGGACTAAATCAGGTCTAATCTAGGACTAAACCAGGACTAAACCAGGATTAAACCACATCTAAACAAGGTCTAACCCAGGTCTAAACCAGGACTAAATCAGGACTAACCCAGGACTAAATCAGGTCTAATCTAGGACTAAACCAGGACTAAACCAGGATTAAACCAGGTCTAAACAAGGTCTAACCCAGGTCTAAACCAGGACTAAATCAGGACTAACCCAGGTCTAACCCAGGACTAAAACAGAGCTGAACCAGGACTGAACCAGGACTAAACCAGGTCTAAACCAGGTCTAAACCAGGTCTAACCCAGGTCTAACCCAAGTCTAACCCAAGTCTAACCCAGGTCTAAACCAAGGTCTAAACCAAGACTAAATCAGGTCTAAACAAGGACTAAACCAGGACTAAATCAGGACTAAATCAGGTCTAATCTAGGACTAAACCAGGATTAAACCAGGTCTAAACAAGGTCTAACCCAGGTCTAAACCAGGTCTAAACCAGGTCTAAACCAGGTCTAACCCAGGACTAAAACAGAGCTGAACCAGGACTGAACAAGGACCAAATTAGGACTAAATCAGGACTGAACCTTTCTGATAAAATGCGCAGTTCAACCATTTCTACAAAACTGTGGAGGATCTGAGCGAGAATCACCGTGTCAGACTTAGTAAAGCATTTGTTCATGATGGAGTAAGTGTTAGTTCATGTTTTATTAATACTTTGTGTTGTGTGTAGTTCTTCTGGAGTATTTCGCAGCGTCGTGTGTGTGTGTGTGTGTGTGTGTGTGTGTGTGTGTGTGTGTGTGTGTGTGTGTGTGTGTGTAGCAGCTGTGTACAGTGACAGAGGAGCATTGATAGGGTGAGACTCGACAGCTGCTGAGAAGAAGTTCTGTGCAGCAGGTGTCAAACACACACACACACACACAGACACACACACACACACACACACACACACACACACACACACACACACACACACACACACACACACACACACACACACACACACTGCACTCTGTCTCACTCTGTCAAACGTGTGGAGCAGTGCTGGACGTGTGTGTGGAACTCTCAAGAAATACAAATACTACAAATACTCACTACAAATAAATACTACAACTACTACCAAATAGTAAATCCAAATAATCATTCCAAATACTCCAAATACTCACTCACTCCAAACAATTACGACCAAAAATGCTCACGCCAAATACTTCATCCAAATACTCACTTCTAATAATCACTGCAAATTAATACTCACTCCAAATATTTCCCCCAAATACTCACTCCAAATATTTCCTTCAAATGATCCAAATACTCACTCCAAATATTTCCTTCAAATGATCCAAATACTCACTCCAAATATTTCCCCTAAATACTCACTCCAAATATTTCCTTCAAATGATCCAAATACTCACTCCAAATATTTCCCCCAAATACTCACTCCAAATATTTCCCCTAAATACTCACTCCAAAATACATATTCCAAATATTTCCCCCAAATAATCACTCCAAATAATCACTACCAAAATACTCTCCTCCAAATACTCACTCTAAATACAAACTTCAAATACTCACTCCAAATACTTCCTCCAAATATTCACTCTAAATAATCACTCCAAATACTCACTCCACAAACTCTCACCAAATACTCACTCCAAATACTTTTTTCTAAATACTAACTCCAAATACTCAAACACACCAAATACTCTCACCAACTATTCACTCAAAACACTAACTCCAAATACTTCCTACAAATACTCACTCCAAATACTCACTACAACTACTCACTCCAAAATACATACTCCAAATATTTCCCCCAAATAATCACTCCAAATACTTTCTTCAAATGCTCCAAATACTTACTCATTCCAAATATTTCCTCCAAATACTCACTCACTCTACTCACTCCAAATACTCACTCCAAATACTTACTCCAAAATACATACTCCAAATAGTTCCCCCAAATACTCACTCCAAATAATCACTACCAAAAATACTCCCTCCAAACACAAAATACAAACTTCAAATACTCACTCCAAATACTTCCTCCAAATATTCACTCTAAATAATCACTCCAAATACTCACTCCACAAACTCTCACCAAATACTCACTCCAAATACTTTTTTCTAAATACTAACTCCAAATACTCAAACACACCAAATACTCTCACCAACTATTCACTCAAAACACTAACTCCAAATACTTCCTACAAATACTCACTCCAAATACTCACTACAACTACTCACTACAACTACTCACTCCAAATACTTTCTCCAAATACTTTCTCCAAATACTTCCTCCAAATACTCACGCCAAATACTTCCTCCAAATACTCAAACACGCCAAATACTCTCACTAAATACTCTCATCAAATACTCTCTCACCCCAAATACTCGAAACTCTCACCAAAACCTTTTACCAAATACTCTCACCAAAAACTCACTCCAAATATTCACTCAAAACACTTACTCCAAATACTTCCTCCAAATATTCACACCATCATGAGCAGAGAAACCAAAACTGAGGAAAACCTTTGTGCCGATTCAAAGCAAATAATTTTGACCAAAATTTTGATCAAATTTAAATATGTTTTTGTGTAACATACAATTCTTCATTCGTCTTATTTCAAATCAACATTTCATTTTTTTAAAATACCTTCATAAAATAATAAATCTATAAGTGCAAATTATAGAACCGATTTTGCTGCAGATGTGTCCAGGACTGAACCAGGACTAAATGAGGGTAAGGTTAGTCCTGTTTTAGTCCTGTTTTAGTCCTGTTTTAGTCCTGTTTAGTCCTGGTTTAGTCCTGGTTTAGTCCTAGTTTAGACCTGGTTTAGTCCTACTTTAGTCCTGCTTTAGTCCTGTTTTAGTCCTGTTTTAGTCCTGTTTTAGTCCTGGTTTAGTCCTGTTTCAGTCCTGGTTTAGTTTAGTCCTGGTTTAGTCCTGGTTTAGTCCTAGTTTAGTCCTAGTTTAGTCCTGGTTTAGTCCTGGTTTAGTCCTGTTTTAATCCTGGTTCAGTCCGGTTCAGTCCAGGTTCAGTCCAGGTTAGTCCTGGTTTAGACCTGGTTTAGACCTGGTTTAGACCTGGTTTAGTCCTGGTTTAGTCCTGTTTAGTCCTGGTTTAGTCCTGGTTTAGTCCTGGTTTAGACCTGGTTTAGTCCTTGTTTAATCCTTGTTCAGTCCTGGTTTAGTCCTGGTTTAGTCCTGGTTTAGTCCTGGTTCAGTCCTGGTTCAGTCCTGGTTCAGTCCTGGTTTAGACCTGGTTTAGTCCTTGTTTGGTCCTTGTTCAGTCCTGGTTTAGACCTGGTTTAGTCCTTGTTTAGTCCTTGTTCAGTCCTGGTTTAGTCCTGGTTTAGACCTGTTTTAGTCCTGGTTCAGTCCTGGTTTAGTCCTTGTTTAGTCCTGGTTTAGACCTGGTTTAGTCCTAGTTTAGACCTGGTTTAGTCCTGTTTTAGTCCTTGTTCAGTCCTTGTTTAGACCTGGTTTAGTCCTGGTTCAGTCCTGGTTTAGTCCTTGTTCAGTCCTTGTTTAGTCCTGGTTTAGACCTGGTTTAGACCTGGTTTAGTCCTGTTTTAGTCCTTGTTCAGTCCTTGTTTAGACCTGGTTTAGACCTGGTTTAGTCCTAGTTTAGACCTGGTTTAGTCCTGGTTCAGTCCTTGTTTAGACCTTGTTCAGTCCTGGTTCAGTCCTTGTTTAGTCCTGGTTCAGTCCTGTTTGAAGCCTCAGTTTCCTTCTTACCTCGTCAGTAAACAGGGTAATTAACGTGACAAAAGTACTTATGGAATGGAGTATGAAGTATTTTTGGTATTTTTGGTATTTTTTTCGTAGTCTCGGTCGTGCGTGTGCTCAGCTGCAGGCGGCGCGGGGCCGTTTGTGACTCAGAGGATTACATAAAGTCCCGTACCTGTGTCATCAGTACAGCGCTTCACCGTGTAATGAGCTCCTGTCGTTACAAAATGTTACGTAACAGGCTTCATTCATCGGGCTGCTCCTTAAAAAAAAAAAAAAAAAAAAAAAAAAACGGCGCCGTAAAAACAACACGAAAACTAAACACACACGCTTTAATCTGCACTTATCGTTTAGAGACTGAACAGGCCCAGGACCAGACCAGACCAAGGACCAGACCAGACCCAGACCAGACCAGACCCAGACCCAGGACCAGACCAGACCCAGGACCAGACCAGACCCAGGACCAGACCAGACCCAGACCAGACCAGACCCAGGACCAGACCGCAGACGAAAAGGCAGCTGGTCTCCATGGAGATGTTGCACCGCAATAGAAGATAAGATAAAGATAAGATGGGGCTTTATTTGTCCCCCACAATCAGGACGAGACGGTTAATAGGCTCTTTACAACGAGGAGACAAATACTCACTACAAATACTCACTACAAATACTCACTCCAAATACTCACTTCAAATACTCACTTCAAATACTCACTTCAAATACTCACTACAAATACTCAGACCAAATACTCAGACCAAATACTCAGACCAAATACTCAGACAAATACGCTTCAAATGCTCACTTCAAATACTCAGACCAAATACACACTACAAATACTTCCTCCAAATACTCAGACCAAATACTCACTTCAAATGCTCGCTACAAA